CTCTCTCTCTCTCTCTCTCTCTCTCGCGCGCTCGCTCGCTCTCGTCCGTAGCGCCTCTCATCGCCGGTCGTAAATGTCCTTAAGTATTTATAAAATCACAAACTTGGCCGCGCGCCGAGCCCCTTGACTCAGCAGTGCCGCGAGATATGGTGGCATCACAATTTAATTAACGCACGTTCGACATCCACCTCCTCGTCGGATGTATCGGCTATCTTTCTACGCCCGCGTTGGTCGACTATCCGGCGACAAGTTCCGTTATTCGTGGTACGCGACCAGAAGGTGAGAATCGAGCAGTAATCACGCGAAAATTACGATTCGCGGGTCCGGACGCGATCGGGAAACGCATCGGACGCGATCGAAAGAGGATGAGGATCGGTTGGAAGGGAGACGAAGAGTGTTGAGAGGAAAAAGTGGACGGGGCCACGAAGCGGAAGTTGCGGTGGGCCCAAGATCCGATCGAATACGTTCGAATCTGCGACGTTACAGTGGAATTCGTTTGAATATCAGTCGATGTCAGGTCTCGAAGTTCTTCACCGATCGAGTCATAGAGGTTCGATACTTTGATGTTTGGTTCTGTCTTGAAATTTCCGATGAGTTTCGAAGATTTTGTACGAGTAAATGAACGACTTTATGAATTCGTATACTCTGTCGTTCGTGTACTCTGTCATTCATAAATTATTACATTTCTCCGCACCTTTTTAAGACGAAATTAATAACTTTATTAACTTCTAGAAACTAATTTATACATTCATCTGTATACATATTTATGCAAAGTACGAAGGACTCGTTAGAAGTGTTAAAACTCGTTAAGACTTGTCGGTCAAAGATTGAAGAAGACAACAAAATCAATGAAAACTTTCAAGATCGAACCAGACGTCGAGTCCTAACAATTCCTTCGAGACGTGCCCGCACCGAATGACGTTCGAAACGATTCGATGGTTCGCGGTGTTGAAAATTGGTAGCGTTTTCGTCGGCACAGATTCGAACTCTAATCACCACCCGGAAGTCTTGCCCGGATAACGGAATCGCGAACAAACGGATAGACGGTCGAGGCGGAGGTTCGAAGGTCGAAAGGTCTCGAACCGGTGGTCGCTAGTTACAGTCGTTACAGTATAGATACACTTATGTACAAGTGGCACCGCTACTTACGGGGCTCGGACTATACGTATTTGCTGGACAACTGTTTAGCCAGCTCCGTATACTTGAGAAATTTCGAGTGCGGGCTCTCCTCGAGGGGAGAGGCCGCTGACTGAGACGGGCTGCCGTTCGCCTGCGGAAGCGGCGGCGACTTGTTGCGCTGGGACGTCGGGGGCGAGGAAGAACTGTGACCGGAAGGCGGTCCCGTGGCGGTGTTCTGAGAGACCGCGGCCGCAGCAGCCGCAGCAGCCGCCGCAGCGGCGGCCGCGGCTGATCGGCCGATGGTCAGGGGGTCCGGAATCACGCCGTCTTTAACGAAGTGCATTTTCGACAGGTGGTGCCTGTACGCGCCCTTCGATATGAACGGCGTGTCGCAGAAGGCGCATTTCATGATCGAATCGGCGGTGACGACGGCATCGTTGCAGGCCCAGCTGAACGCCAGGATCGCTCCTGGCGTGGTACCCGATCCAGGCCCGCTCGAGCCAACGCCGCTACCAGCGGCTGCGCCGTGGCTCGATGTCGAGCCGGGACCGCTGCCGGACCTTGCAGCGCTGCCGCTAGGACCTCTCGTCTCCGTCTTGTCGCAAAGCTTTTGCAATGCAGCCAACGGATGACTGCTGGTCTTGCGCCCCTGCGAATCGACCGCGCTGCCCGTACCACCTCCGCCTCCACCACCGCCACCGCCGCTGCCACCACCCGACAGGCTGTCGAACATGGAGGAAAGCGCCCCGAGACTGCTGGATCCTTTGGTGTCTGGCGTTCCGCGTGGCGTCACCGATCGGTCGCTGCTCGTAGGACTGCTGGTGCTGTTCCTGCACGGACTGCGAGCCAGCTGCTCCATTTGTCCGCTCGACCTGGGAGTCGGCGGGTTTACGCGTGGCGAGAGAACCTCCCTACCTTCCTCCGAACCCTCGTGCAGACTGCTGCGTCGATGGTTGAACGATCCCTGATCCTCCTCGTCTCTACAGTCCTCCATGATTTCCTTCTTTACGAACACGTCCCGATTCGACTGAGCCTGTGACTGCTCCTCGTCGTTTGCGCTTCGTTCTTCGCTCTCCTCGTCCCTGGGCTCCTTCTTCACCACCACCGACGTCGAGCCTGCCGCTGACGCAGCAGCGGCGGTCGCGGAGGCGATCGACTCCTCGTCACCGGATTCTTCCGCGGCCGGGTGATGACGTCCCGACGTCAGACTTTGCGGGGTCAGCTGCTTGTCGGGTGTTGCGCGATGGTGATGGGAATGCCTCTCCGAATGTCCGACGGACAGGTCTAAACGCCTTTCAGGCGTCATCGAGTCGGTTCTACCGCCGCTGCCTCGTTCCGATACGGAACTGGACTCGCTTCCGCTGCGTTCCCGCCGCGCCGCCGTGCTCGCCGAGTAGTGCTGCTGTTGGTGTTGCTGTTGCTGATACGATCGCAGGAGGTTCATCGTTTGCGGGTCCACCAGCGGTTTCGTGTAGTCCACGCTCTCGTCGATGCCCAGCCGCTTCAGAATGCTCGTGCCCATCGGCGCGCCAGGCTGAGCGTGATGCAAGCCTGGCGTCCCGTGCCTGACGCGGGAATCGAAGCTCTTCTCAATCAGCTTCTCGATGGCGTTCAGAACGGAAGGAGAAGAGCTGCCTGTAGTCTCGTTGGCGGTCGGGGTTGGGGTGTCTTTGCCAGGAGTAGTCGCGTCGCTTGCCGAGGATGGCGACCGATGGTGCCTCGAGGACACTGGCGAACTGTCCTCGTTGACGCTCTTGCGACCGCTCTCGGACGGCGGCAACGTCGCGGGCAAGTGATTCGACATGAGCGCGTTCTTCAGAAAGTTCCGTTGATTCGCACTCACCGTGCCCCCACCGATGCACTGACGTATATGATCCACGAAGATGGTCGTCTCGATCTTCTCGCCGCACTTCTCGCAGGTTATTCTTCCCGCATGTTTCCCGAGGCTGTGGCCAAGACCCGCCGCGGCATCGCCATTCTTGAACTCGTTCTGAGCCCTCTCCAACTCCAGCAGCTTCCTCACGGGCAACGATTTCTTGCGTTTCTCCCGCGTCTGTCGACGCCGTCCACCGCTCTCGGTGATCGAGCGCATTATGTGCTCTTTGTAGTGCGAGTTCTTCACCATGTGGTTGCTCAGCTCCTTCAACGAACTAAACGCCTGGTCGCAAACCTTGCAGGTCAGCACGGCGCTCACGTGGCTGCTGGTCGTTCCCGAACCCGGGCCTGCGGTGTTCCCACCGTGAGGACCAGTGGTACCACCGCCAGGGACCGTCGTTCCACTTCCACCGCCACCAGCGCTCACAGCGCCACCTCCGCTTCCACCGCTCCCACCACCGCCGCCTTTATTTTCATCCGATGATTTCCAGGAGATGATCTGTTCCTGAGAGATGATATTAGTGTAGTGTTGCGTCTGCTGCATGTGCGATGTCATCTCGGCCAGGGAGCGGAAACTCTGTCCGCACCACATGCACTTGAGAATCTGCCTAGTTTGCTCGGCCCCCTTGCCCAACCACACGTCCTGGCCGCGCACCAGCTTTCGCGGTAGCGGCATCGTCTCCTTGATCAGCAAGTTCAGCTCGGATGGACTCTGCTTGCTGCTGGGCGTCGCGGAACCGCCGCCACCGGATCCGCTGTTGCCCGACGACGTCGTTTGAGGCTGATGAGATTGCTGGGGCGTCGGAATGCTCTGTACGTTCGTCTGTTGGGGATGCAGCGTGGATCCGGCGGGTGGCACCGGCATGTTAACGCCGCAATGCTTCGCCTCCTTCATGTGCGTCGTCATCGCCGCCAACGTTGGGAAGCTTTGCTTACACCAGACGCACTTTAGCACGTCCTTTGCTTGATCGGCGCCCTTGTTCAACCAATGCGATTGCCAGGCGCTGTGTCGACTGCCCGACGTCGAACCGGTTACGTTTCCAGCGGCGGTCGCTACACCACCTGGTCCACCGGAGGTCGCACCCGACGACGACCTGAACAGATCCTCGCCTCCCAACTTGCTCAGTTCGGACATCTTCTCGAGCGCCTTGGTCGCCTCGCTCGGTTGGTACGATTTCTCCAACGCGGACGGCGGCTTCATCTTGCCGTTCCAGAGCTGATGGTGGTCCATCACGCCGGCGGTGCTCTTCGGCGAGAGCTGCTGCTGACTAGTGGCCGCTGCCGCTACCGCGGCGGCGAAATAGGGGAAGTGAGAGGCCACCACGGGCGACGTCCACGGCGACACGACGGGGGGCCTGCCGAAACCGACCGCGCTCACGGCTTGCGTTGGATCCTGATGGGCTGTCGCGGCCGCCGCGGTACCTGCTAACCTTGAGGACTTGCGCACGGGTGGTGGCGGAGAGTCTTCGGGACCTGGCCGCTTTCTGCTGGGCACGGACAGGTCCAGGGGTCCGTTGTTCGTTTCCGTCGACGAGGAGGGGGTCGGTGGCTTGCTCAGGTTCAGTATCTGCTCGTCCTCGTCGTCCTCGGTCGAAGAAGCCTTTCTCGTGCTGAAGTCGAGGACGGCTGGCAACGGTGTCGCCGATGGTGACACTTCGCCCACGCTGCTCGGCGAGACCAGCAGACCCGGAGTGGCGGCTGGCGGCGAACACGAGGACGAGACCAACGGCGACACCGAGCCCCGAGACAGGGGCGAGTGTCCGAGCAGCAGCCTCTGGTGAGTCTGTTGCAGATACGCCGCCATCATTGCCGCGGAATGGGGCGGTAGCAGAGGATGACTGCCGAGCGGAAGGGGCACGATGCCGCTCGGGCTGACAGGACTCGCGCTGCTCCTCGTTGCGGGCGGCGGTGGACTACCAGTCGCCGGACCGGACGATTCCCGAGAATCTCTCGAGGGACAGCGCGGACTCATTGGTTCTCTGGAATCATGAAACAGAAGGGAAGAACGTTATGTGACGTCGACGAGAGTGCTCGATAATATTTCGTTGGGGATACCGAACCCTTTCGCTACTATGCGCTGTCGCAACCATTTCGAGGGGGATGATCCGGGTGGATTTTGTACAGTACCAGGTAGAAATTATAGTGGTTGACGAGTGGAAACAAATTGTACATTTTTAGAAAATGTTGAATCCATTGTTACAGTTTATATCACTTCCAGAACACCCGACCCAAACTTAACAATTTGATATTCGCGTTGATGATATTCAATTTTCGTAATTTCGCAGGTCTTGTCGTGTAAAATTTGATACAAACAAAGACATCCTTAAATTGAATGACGTGCTTTAATTAACGGTGCGAATAATATAAATTATAATACGCTGTCCGCCCAGACGGCCACGTCAAAAAGAAACGTACATGAATTGAAACCCTTTTTTATATTCAATTGGTTAGAATTATTAGAGCTAACTTTTTACTTTATATTTAGAAGTAGATAATTTAACGAGTACATATTAATTCGTGTTAGAAATCAGACACCGGAGATTCGTATTTAAAATAAAAGAAATAGATTCATAAGTAATGATTATGTATGTGCTTCAGGTTAAGAAATACACCTGGCCGTTTTTCGACACTAGTTATTCTAGTTGCCAGACATATTCTCGGTGGTTCATAGCTATTTCGGAGTTATCAATTAGGTACATCTATTGCTGGTTCACCGATTCTAGAATGCACATTGACTGGTATAGGAAAAGGAAGGAAACGTGGACGTGTGTCTAGTCGCGAAGAAAATCAATGAGTTAAAAATCGATGGTTTTCGTCAGAAATCGGACAACCGTCGGATGACTGACACGAGGAAGATTACGTTTATTCCGTGCCAGTGATCGATATCGGCTTAAACAATGTACGAAATGCGACTCTAAAAACGAAAAGCAATCTATATTGCAAGCACACTTGTAAGGATAAACGAGATATGGTTTATGTAACTCGCTTAGATGAAAATAGGATTAAAGCTAGGAAACTCTAAAATTTGTTAGTAAACTTACTGCTAACCGTTTCAGGCGGTTACTCTTCATTTACGATAATGCGATTTGAGCTGAGGCACCCATGCTACTAGCGCCAAAAATGTTTAGAAATAGCGAGCATGTACAAAATTAATATTACATTGAGAGTTTACAGATATCGTTAAAAACGATCTATTTTCTAAGTTTTCTCGACGATACGATCTATCCCAGACTGTCCTACAAGGAATTCCATTTGAGCGGGAAATCAGCTCGACGGAATAGCGTAGGAACTTTATCGCTTCGAGTTATTTTTTACTGAAACTACTAACGTAATTCTATCTTAAAATCCTCATATCTTATACTTTTAATCATTCTTTAATTTATTTGTAGTCTACCCCATGCGTCGATCAATGGAAGTGCTATAAATTTGTTATTCGAAACAATTAGGTACAAGGCCTGTCGTATTAAAATTTAAAGCATTTAATGTAGTCGTTAGAATTCGTAATAAGCTGTACGAGAGTATTCGGAGTATTATACGTCCCTTGTTCCGAAGGTAGCCACGAACACACAGTCGAAACCGTTTAACAACGGTAAACGGCTCGTTGCAACTACACGGAATATTGTAGAATATATTATTTAATTACCACTTCGTGCCAACACGGGTAAAATGAATTAAATACCGCGCAGCGACACGCGTTGTTCCCGCCGCAGGCATCCGTTACGCTCGTACAACGCCAGAACTAACCGACCAACTCATCCGTAGCGAAAGGGTTGAAGATTGCGCCCTCAACGTTAACAACGTCGCGACCGTTCGACCCGAACATCGTCTGACAAATCGCTTTCGCGACAATGGTCAACGCCTGGACATCAGATATGTGCGAAACTCTATTCTAATAATATAAAACTCAAACGCAAGAATGATTTATGCGCGATGCCACGCTATTATTATTTCTCGGTTCATTGTGGAACATTTCATTTTGTAATACAAATTCAATTCTTGATTCGACAAGTGATCGATGCAATGTTTATATTTATTTGCAAGAATAGCGATGACTTCATGTACGTATTTAATATGATTACAATATTACTCTTTGATAGGTACAACTGTGATTGGCAAGAAAGCTCTTTCCTTGTTAATATACGGTAATAATAATTTATTTTGAAAGTCTTGTAGCGATGCGTTAAAATCAATATGAAATCACCAATGGGTATTCGAGAATCGTTAACAATTAAAGACCTCGTTCATCTCAAGAATTTTCTTCATCTCCCTTCAACACTGACCGACGACACTCCCGCGTGTCAGTCACGATTGACGAACAATTTGTGCGGGCACTGTGTCACTGCGGCGTCAGCCATCTGCCGATGAACGGGTCGGATCAGCGATCTTGGTACTCGCGGAAAAACCGCGAGAACAATCGATACCTGTCGGAGGCTCGTTAACGCGTACTCGGTCGCGAGTACAGGCCTACGAGCGCGTGGATCGTCGTGATCCTTCTCCCATGGGTGATGATCGGTGGCGTGGCTGCGTGCGCGGGCGCAAACACGGACACGGGGCCACGAACACAGGTATCCCAGGAAGAAAGAAAGAACAGTTCTGTATTAACCCTTCGCCGCGTACGTCCCCAATGCCACTGCATTTGAGTTAAAGCGACGTTTGAGGGGTTAAGAGGTGCGCGGTACGAGGAGAGAGTAAAACGTGAACACCGTCGAGTTGCTTCGCGTCGGGAAGGCTGACTGCGACGTCTGACCCAGTACGGTTCGCGCGGCAGATACTACTTCTCGAGTGGAATAGGAGCACGCGACGCGAATCTCGCGTAATCGTCGCGAGGAGCGCCGGGCGCGAGGTTGCAGGCTTGTCGACGGCCCGCTCGTAACTGACTGCTCCTGACTGAATGCCGAATGCGTGCCGCGAGATGAAAGGGGAGCACCGGCACGCATGCAGGGGAAGTTTTCGGGGGCTGCGCGGCGCGGGGGGCACGGAGGCGCCACCGACGCAGCCCGCCACCATCGCACACATACCCGCCGCCCCCAGCACACACATCCACCGCCCCCGTGGCAAGCGGTGATGCGGCAAAACGGTACCGAAGCGGTGTCACCGACGGCGTTAGCGAGGATCGCCTCGCGCAGCTCGACGCGTAACACGTGCCTATCTCTATTAGCTGTGTGACGTCGCACGGCAGTCACTGATATCAGTCTGGCACCGGCTTATTTATCCCTTCGTCTACTCCCACCCCTTCCGCCCGTCTCTATCGGTCGCGTTGCCTCCCTCTCAGCTGTTGTCTCCTCTGCCTTCGTCCCTCGAGCTTCCTTTCGCGACTAATTATCGCTTAGCGGCCTACTCGCGGTGCTATGCAGTCGTTGCGTTCTTACGTTGCGGGGTATCTTAACGCTAAAACATCCGAGACCAAGAGGTTCAAACTTCTATTTAGAGTCGATTAATTATTGGCAATGCTTCGACTGCAACCTTTGGGCGCAGTTAATGTAGCAGAGAATTACTAATAAAGGGGGATGTTTACCCTCCCATTTTTAGTATACAAGTTTGATAATCCGTAATAGACGTTCCGTGTGATCGTTCAACTTGCATGTATTTTTCAAAGGAAATAAATATGTACCGAATACTGAGAAACACGAACCTGTTGGCCAACGTACAGGTTCTTAAACATAATGTCTGATTCGTACGAACCAGCGTCAAGTAGGCAGCCTCGGTTCGGATTTGCCTCGACCACAAAGTGTTAATAGCGTTTCGCCGCGTCTCGCTCGCGCACGTTACGGATCCGTGACGATTCGTTGCGCTCAAACAACGAGAATACCCGTGTGTGTACACGAGAACCCCAGGACGGCGACTTCAAAGCGCACAGCAGCATCGCTCTCGTTGATTTAGGCGGTTTACGATGAAGCCCTCGGTAAAGCACCGGCTAATGAGTTTGAAGCGGACCGCGTTTGTCGAAATTTACGGTCATACTTCTTTTTGTCCTTCGCGCCTGCAGTCTAGGCCTCCGTCTAGACGTCGCCGTTGCAAAGTTTCGGAGACGTTCCATCGATATGCGGTTGGAGAAAATTGTCGAAAAGCAAGGTGGTTTACCTGTCGGGAGGTCCCGTGTCCCTTAAAATCGTGGGATTCAATCTCGCGGTAGCGGAAGGCGGTGGCGTGGGCGGCGTTGCATCCTCGTCGTCCTCCTCGTCGGTCGCGTCGCCATCCTCTTCCTCTTTGGTTGCAGCCGCACAACCCCTCTCGCTAGGGCTAATCGGCCCTTCATCCTCCACGCAATCGCCTTCCTCCCCTTGGAGGTCCGTGCCAGGCCCTGAGCCTTCGACTCCGTCCTCCCCTGAAACGAAAAATCAAAGGATCACGTAAATTTATACCGAATTTATCTCCGAAAATGTAACGAAGGATGGACGTTCAAGGTATATGTACACACGAGACGATATATTCTTTTACGAGCCAATCGCGATTTAGGCGAAAATTACACGGAATAGCATTAGAAATTTTTCTGAATACCGATTAAATACCTTTTCTCGATAAACAATTTGTTATTCGTAGGAACTATTATTTGGTATACTTGTATAGCTAGTTTCATATTTGTTTTTTAATCGCGAATGTGAACGACCATCATCGTCTGATAATCAACAACGTCTAGATGTAACATTGAACATCTGTAAGAAAAATATACAGATTGCGTGCTACGTGCGAATCTAAGCGGGTGGGAGACAAGCATGCTATATCTAATACTAACATAACAGAATATTTGGGGACTAACTTTTGTCTGTTTCAAAATTGAGGAGTGCTATCGTTAAATAGTATTTAACGATACTTTAGTGTTGTGTGAAAATTTCCAGACGTTCGATTAGTTTAACAACTCGTAACACGACGAGTCGTTACAGGGATCGTCGAACAGACGGACGATCGCGCAGGTGAAGACGAGTAAGGAGCGGGGGAGAAACAAGAAGAGGGAAGAGTGAAAAGGAAGCATGGGGTCTGACAATAGAAGGGAGAATTTGGGAACGACGGTGTCAAGAATGGTGGAACGACGCAAAGAGCAAGACAATAGCGCTATCTGTTCATTTATCAGCCTTTCGCGACGACGACGACGACGACTGTGTCGACGTTGCGAACGACGCGTCGATGGCGAGGCTGCATCGGATGCGTCGAGCGAGATCACGGTGGGCCATTGTCGAGCCAGCCAGAGACTTCCGTTCTCCGTATTATGATTCTTAATCAAATCGTTTTGAACCTACGATAACGAACTACGGGGTCGGCCATCGTATCGTTCTCGCCGTCGAAACGTTTCGTCGAAGTAGGTTGCGCTTTTTTGGATCTCGAATCGTCATAGCTGGGCAAAACTAAGTTAAACCATCTGTTCGATGAAGGGTGCAAAGGTAGAGTTAAACGAGATAAGATGGCGAACATCCCTAGGTACACAAACATAGAAACCAATTTATTTGTTTATTCGAATGCACAGCCTTCTAAAAAAAAAAAAGACGACAGAGTGTTCATCGCGGCTCACATCAAAAGTTAACCGCGCGACAAAGAAAGTCAACGAGAAACATAAGAATGACGAGAACGAGTGACAATTGGAACGCATTGGCGTAAAACAGCGATTGAAGAACTATTCAAGTTTCCATGATTTTGTGACACCTTACTACTATATATTGGATGGATCGAGCGGCCTAGTCCCTTTGCTCCGGTCTTCTCTAGTTTGTACATACTCGGGAACTTAACGTGGCCGGTCAGAAGGATGGTCCCGAGACGCGACGATCGCCATCTTGTTCCGGAGTCACGCGTCCCCGTTCGAGAACCCGAGGATCCCGATCTTCGGGGACCGAAGAAAGCGAAAGAGGCGGAAAGGAGCCTGCACACCTCCCTTTCGAGAGGGTGGGGACAACCAGGACGAAGAGCACCGTCCTACTTTGCCGACTGGCCAACCAAACGATCGTTTGTTCGCCGATGGGCCGCGGAAGAAGGAGGGAAAGGAGATCGCGCATTGATCCGCGGAGGCATCGGCAACTAATTACGCAGATTTATGTCCCCATTGTCCATTGTCTCTCTCATCCGGAGCGGCCCTCCGTAGCCCTGCGCGACCGTGAACGATTCGATGGAAGAGCTGCTGGCTGCCTGCCGCTGGCCAGCGATCCAGCCTGGAACGGGAGGTGCTCCGAGCAGGAACGACCAACGACCACGAAGACGACCAACGTCGACGCCGTGAACGAGGAAGACGAGAACAAACCGGGACAAAAGGAAGAGCCCGAGAATGGTCTGGAACCGAGCTTCGTACCGAGAAGGGATACGCGAGAAGTCGAGAGACCAGGGCGGACCACCGGCGGACAGCTCCGCCCGCTTCGAACATCCTCGATATCCTTTCCGTCCCGTTTCCTCTCGTTTCGCCTCGCTTCGCGTAAAAACGGACGCGTACCTTTTGCACCTTCCTGTCCACCCTACTTCTTTCCTTCCCTCTTTTTATTCCCATTGTGTTACTTTCTTTACTCTTGTTTGTCCCTAGGACGACATCCTCCAAGTTCCACTTTTGGGGTCACTCGAGAACCCTCACGGACTTGAATTTCATTACATTTGAGTTAGCTCTGCTGGATTTATGGAAGACAAATTTCTTATTTTCTTCTACCTTCGTTCTTCTTTTATTTGTATGCTTATGCATATATTCATTTTTTGCGTGTGCATACAGTCAGTCCTATAAGTATTCGTATCCGCTATATCTATTAAAGAAATTCATCGAAATTAAATTATAAATATATCTATGAGTAAAGTTTATTCATGTATGACTGTGATTAACTTTATAACTGAAGCGTAGCTTATCAGACAACCATGCCAGTTTGTATAGAGACTTCTGTAAACGAAGCATTGAAGCCATTAAATTTTGTCCGAATATTCTATCGTATCTAGAATTAATACAAGTACTGTACGTACTCATGCATGTATGTAATTTTATATCTCGAAAGTAGTTTATCGAAAATCTATGAAATTTGACATGATGGCTTCTGTATAGAGGTTATTTATGTACCTGCACCAAAAAATTGTAGAATACAGCGTTTCACGTAAGGATTGAGAAGATATCACATTCCCCTCTATCAAGTCTCGAGAAAATTCCGACAGTTAAAATTCATAAAATTTGATAAATTCCAAACCAGTACCGAGAAAGTTCAGCGCCAAGCTCGCCAATTTTGTCCAGTTATCGCAAATTCCAGGAGCTTCCTGACGGTTTCTTCGGTCCCCGAGCCTTTCGAGGCAGCAAAAGTCGAAGGCGTCTGGACGATCGTGACGTATCGAGGAAATGGTCGCGAAACGAGCCAAAGCGGGGCCCCCCTGTGCTACGGATGGAATAGAATGCGAGTGGTGGCGCGAGCCGAAGATCTCGTATCCCCATTGGTGAACCGCTAACGAGGAGGCTAGCGCAGGGTTGCATATTCAGGCCTCTGGATAGATACGAGAGGAATAAGGAGCGTGGCGTACCGAGCTTGAAAGCAGCCGGGCCCTGACATCGACTCCGAGATCGCTGCTTCACGATATCCGCTCCTCTCGGCTCCAGCCAAACGTTGCGCCTCACCAACCATAGGGATATATTAGTAGATAGGTACCAACGCTTTCGTTGCTCGTTCCGTCCATGAAACCAGACTCTACGTACATACGTGCATGCGCGCACGCTTGACTCCTGTACCAACATCCACATCTCGGATCCATCCCCCCTTGGTCAACAATCTTGTCCGTGTTTCTTTCGGTCGCCCTCCTACGCCGCGCCAATACACCAGCGGTACACGATGCGCAACAATAATTAGTCTTATCGGCCAATCCTCTCCTTCTGTTCCTCTTGCCTTCCTCGCTCGACTTTTTCCGCTCCTCAAAGTCCCTTTTCTTTTCTTACTCGTCTTACGTCTCTTCTCTCTCCTTCTCACTTTCTTGCATATTCTGCTCTTCTGTTTACATCTTTCGTTTTCCAGGTATATTTTTCGCGTTTCGAGCCCTTCGTTATGAGAATGGTACAAGTCCACCTCTCTTTGAAGAATGAAGTTCTTGCGAGCAATGCTTCAAAAGTATATCGACTTTATTTGTAAGAAAGGTTTCATTGTCTAAGAGGCAATATTTCTTAATGAACGCGTTTACCCGAGTTCAGTTGCTAAATGGAATAAGAAAAGTATTCGTTATGAAAATGGCGTAAATCCACGAACACGAACCATCTTACACCCCTTCAACAACGTTAGATCGGTATCACGAAGAAAAAGCGAGGACGTAATGTAATCAATGTAATACACCGCACTCGTACATCGTGATTATTTTGAAAACCTCGGTCACACTTGAACGTAAATCTGTTGTATTTCGGAACAAAGGAAGATGGACTACATCGGTCCGATAATGAACAGCTCGTGTACACCGATAAGGCCATTTCTTACAACGCCAGTTCTGTCGTTTATCAAACATGCTGTGTATTCCTTGCGAATCTGCTCCTTGTGCGGCTCTCCGGAGGTCTGAATACGGACGGTCCAGCGGCTTAGCGTACACGTGTCGGTACATGGCACCGGTTAACCGGTACCACGATATCCGTGCTGTGTACGAGCTATGCCGCGAGCCGCTCGGCAGCCACATTGGTCACGCTCGCGACTCCTTTGGACGATGGGACGCGAAGATCGATGCTTTCTAATTGCTGAGAAGCCAGCTCGCCCCGACGTACCAGCTGGATCGCGCGTTCAACAGCGAACCGATTGGTATTTCAGCCGCGTTCGAGGTTATAACACGATCCAAGAACTTGTCGCAGACTGGCTCACGAAACGTGACAATTTCTTGGTCTGTGTTGCCTGAGAACACCGTTATGGCCCTGGTCCGGTGCTCGAAGATTTGATTAGTTTAGAGTGTTCAAAGTCGCCTTTAAAGTCGTTCGTTTTCGTAATTGTAGGAATTGTAAAAAATTCAATCGACGCCACTTAGATCGACAACCAATAGAAAATATACGATGTTCATTCGTGAGTCGATTGCAATAGACTGATAGGCGAAAAAATGATCGTTTTTTGTACTCATTATAGAAAAGATGACGTAACACGAATCTGTACATTCCGAGGAATCTGGCAATAGTTATTTAACCGAGATGCGATGAGAATGTTGAAATATACGTGCGTAAAGGTCGAACCGTCATAGCGGGAACAATTCGTCTAACGAACTGGTGTTAACCATGAGAGAGGAGTTCACGTTTCGTTGCGTAATTTCTCCAAATCCGTCACATTATTATTTTTTTCATTGTTTATTTTGGGAACTATAACGTAATATAACGAACAATAATCTTGTTATTTGAGATTGCTGAAGTGTATTTATATTACACACTTGTTA